TTTTTTTAACTGTAATCTTTTTATTTAAAATCTGTCTGTACAGGACAATAATTAAATACATTTAGCGTACATTGAGTGGATAGGTGAGTCTGTAGGGTGCGCCACTGTGCACCGGACAGTTTTTAGCGAAATTTATTTGTGGGTTTGTCCTATAATGGCTGGACCGAGTTTTGCTGATTTACAGCCTTTGTGCTTTCTTGAGTCTCGACCGTGTGGGAGGTCGGGCCAACATCGACGCCAGACGGTTGGAGTGTATTTCCAGCCTACACCCGTGTTTTTTGCGACACTCGTCGATCTCCTCTAGTGTCGTCGGGATCCTGAGGTCTCCCCGAATCACCTCGTTTGGCACATACCAAGGTGCGTCCACCAAACATCGAAGCACCTTGGCCTGAAATCGCTCGATAATTTGAATATTTGAGCTTGCCGCCCTGCCCCAGAGCTGACAACCGTACGTCCAAATCGGCTTCAGTATTGCCTTGTATATCAGCACCTTGTTTTCCAGAGAAAGGGCTGAGTTGCGGCCAATCAGCCAATACAGCGAGCGCAGCTTGAGGCCCAGTTGCTTCCTTTTTGACCATATATGCGCCTTCCACGTCAGGCGGCGGTCAAGGTGCAGCCCCAGGTATTTTACCTGGTCGCTCACCGGGATCGGGCTACCATAGAGAAACACCTGAAGGCAAGTCTCTCTTCTGAGGGTGAAAGTGACGTGTGCAGATTTATCTGCGTTAACACGCCATTTGCTAAGCCACTCTTGGACATTTCAAGGTGGTTTTGGATTTTTTGGGAGGCCATTGAAGTCTCCGAGTGGGCCGCTAGGAGGGCGGTATCATCTGCATAAGTGGCTGTGAGAACACCTGTGGCAGAAGGTAGGTCTGCTGTAAACAACAAATATAGGGTAGGCGCGAGTATACTGCCTTGAGGCACGCCGGCGTTGATGTTGAATAGCTCAGTGATTTCGTGGTTTACTTTCACTCTGAAGGTTCTCTGATAGAGGTAGGATTTGATGAGCCTGTAATGCTGATCCGGAAGGATTTTTTTGATTTTATATAGCAGCCCCTCATGCCAGACTCTGTCAAAAGCCTGGGCGACATTCAAAAAGACAGCGGAGACGTATTTTTTGGACTCGAACGAGTCACGGATCATTCTCGTTATTCTGTTTACCTGTTCCACCGTCGTGTGTCTGTGTCTGAAACCAAACTGGTGGTCAGGAATCAGATTGGAAAAATGTCTGATCTATGGCCGGTAGTATTGGAAAAATGTCTCATCGCATTCGCAATGCTGCCACTTACTTATGATTTAAATTAGGGATTTTTTAGCATTCGCCAAATGATCCGTTTAGGCAGTATGGGAAAATAAAATGAGTTAAAAAACACATTATATTTCCGTTTTTCGGCAAAGACTGCCGAAGTCATTTATTAGCAACGTTTCGTCGTATTTTTAACGACCTCATCAGGCTGTTTAGAAAATTATGATATTAATAATAAATGACAAATCAATATATAAAAATTATTTTAAGATCAAACAGAAATATTCAGTTACACACCTTATTGCGATGGAATAGCGAGTAAAACTAATACATTAGGTAAATAGGAGCGAAAGTTATACAATCCGGACAATAATAATAAAACCTATCGAACACAAAGCAAGGAAGACAGTGACAGTAATATGATTACAATTTTAAATTATTCAATATATTTCTATACATCGAGCTAAGTCCCCTTGTGTCCTCTTGCTTGTTGATCGACGTTTTATGTTTTTTAATGAAGATCATCTCAGCTATTAATCTTTTGTGAAGATTATTTTCAGTATGTAATATTTTTACACCCTCAAAGTCAAATTCATGCTTATTCTCCAGCGCGTGTGCGTAAACGACCGACTTTGAATTCTTGTTTTTTCTATGTTCAATGATGCGCTTTTCAAGAGCTCTCTTAGTCTGCCCGATGTAAGTGGCATCACACGATTTACAATCGAACTTGTAAACAGAATTGACTTGATCTAGAGCTGCTGTTTTGTCTTTACCTAGTCTGATAATATTGTCAATTTTGTTACAAATTGTCGGCAAAAGTTTAACATGATGATTTTTTAACAGTAAAGACGTGAAATTCACTAGGTTGTGAATCTGTGGGACACATAAGGTAGCTCTATTGACGTCAATATCAAGCGCCCTGTCGTCATGTGCAACCGATGGTTTATGAAAAATGTGATGTAATCTTTTGTCAATGTATTTTTGGCAGAAACGCAACGGGTAATTATTTTGCCGGAGGATATTGTGAACGATCCGGATATTCCGTCTATGGCGCTTGTTGTCCGAGAGTAAGATAGCTCTATCAACTAAATTATAGATGTTATTAATCTTGAGTTTGACAGGATGGTTGGATTTGAAGTTAATAGTTCTTTGTGAGGCAATCTCCTTTCTGTACCAGTTGGTAACAATATGTGATTCAGTCCTTGTGAAAGTAATATCAAGAAAGTTCAAGGATTTGTTGGTTTCTATTTCATGAGTGAATTTTATATGTGCGTTATGGCTGTTAAAAACATCGAGAATCGTATTCACGTGCTCCACATTAACACACGCGAAACCATCGTCGACATATCTATAGGAAAACAGCGGTACAATCCCAAACTCTTTCTCAAGTCTATTCCAATATCTCGATTCCAAGTCAGCGAGCACGAGGTCCGCATACATACAAGATATCGGGGAGCCCATCGCACAGTGGTCTGAAAAGTTAAAAAAGTGATCAAAATTATTTTTAAGCTGGAAAATTAAGTTTAAAATGTCATTGCAGGTTTTTTGTAAAGGTTTTGCATTATATTTTGAGAATCCGTTTCCCTCGATGGGTTTGAAGAGTGGTACATAAGTCTAGTCATCATCCGAAAGATGAAATTCGAATTGCATTTAAAGTCACAATAACCTAAGTCATCGAATAACTTTGCACTTACTTCAAGTAATCATATTCCTCATTCTGAAGGAATTTTAATCGCATAAAAACTTAATTTGACTCATTTTGGCCGAAGATCATGCAATACTTTTGAAAAAAAGTCCCCCATATGTGAAAAAAATCAGGCAATTTTCGTTCTATTCTAAAAATAATGAAATGAGACATTTTTATTATTAAACCAGCTTTTCAACTAGTGTTTCAATGATTATTATGAACTTTTTGCAGTAAACTAACTAAATAATAGAAAGAGTCAAATTACATCATGTTTAGGAAGGAAGATTAAAATTAAGAGTACTGGGAAAATTCAAGGATGTATGTTCATATTATTATATATTATTTATATTATATATACATAATAGAGTGTGTGTGTGTGTTTAATTTTCTAAATTTTCAAATACAAAATCTAAATTATTATCTGCTGAATCTTCATCCTCAATAATATCAATGTTTGTATTTAAGAGCAAACTTTCCATATCTGTTGTCAATTGAGAGGTTCTTTTTTTCACATTTCTAAAAGAGGATATAATCGGGTCTGACACCAGTAACAATCTATTAAATAAGTCCGTGTTGGTATTAATTCTGAAATGTTAAAATACAAATGAGTTATCAAGTCTCATAAAATTTGCATGAACTTATGTTAGTTTTTTAGAAATAGAGTCAACTAACCAGTAAATCAACGACCACTAGTAATTGAATGACAAGTATATTAATTGTTAAATTAATTAATTGATGAGTTTTGGGATAATTGCAACAACTATTCTTGTTTTCTTGGGTTACAAAACATTCAACATCAACAGTTTCATTTCAATTAAAACCATTTTTTTATCAATAAATCTATTTATATTACTCGCTAGTGCACACAATTATTTAATCACTGAGTAAAAAAAGCTTAATCAATGTTTTACTCAGTGATAGAAACATGTAACGATTTCTTGATTGCAGAGGTTATGAAATTGAATCTAAGCGACAAGAATTGACTGTTTTTGAAATATTTTTACAATCATTAATGAGTTAAATAACTACAAGTAATAACTACTTAAAGTTATAACTACTTAAAAGTTATTATAAATTCTCAATGTAACCCGGTTATTTTATGGATGATTACATCATATGCAATTATATAATTGACTATATCACACGTTCTTTTACTGGTTTAGCAGCATACATTCATTACTTCAGGGCATTCAATAACTAAAAAGTAATATTAATCATGTAATGGATAGTAGTTTAAAAATATGTAGTTTAATTTATGTTTAACCTTTTATTATTGTGGTTTTTTGGATGCGATTTATGTCACATTTTTTAAAACCATTTATTCACTGGATGGTTGACCATATAACAATGTTATTTCAAATTAAAAACTAGTCATACTAAAAATTTACATACCTAGAAGTTTTTCTGGTAAATTGTTCTTTATATCTCTTTATTATTTTATGATTGGATTCTTGAGCCTCCTCTGAAAAGTAAGCGATCGGCAAAGGCAGTTCGGCTATTATTCTGTAACCATGAATAAGTATAACATGCACAGATGAAGGCATTTTATACCAATTATACGTTTTTATGAATAATTTAGCTGTATCCAGACAATAATTTTGGAACGATTCAATGTTGATCGCACGCTTAACAGAAATGACCGCTAAAATTGTTTTGAAACGTTGAAGCAGCTCTTCATTAAAACCTGTCGTGAGAAAAAAATCACAATTTTATCGTAAATCATTAAAATGTTTCTATTCATTAGTCATAGTCAGAGTTGTAAAAGTTTAAATCAATTTTTCATTCAAATTCAGTAAAATGCACGAATCAATTAGATTTTTGAATTAAAATTATTTTAGTTCACAAATCAATTTAAATTTGAAGTCAACTTCTCGTGTACGTAATAGTTCTTTTGGTCTCTTTAGGTCTCAAAGGACTATAATCCATGTGAATCTGCATATGAACTGGAGAACTGCAGAATAATGCACTGTAGAAGTTCACTTTTGGCCATTGTTACTACTCGGAGTATGAACAACTCAGAGAAACTGGAGACATGAAATTTGAATTAAATCTAGTATAATTTTCAAATCAATTTGATTTGTGAATTAAAATCAATTTAATCAAAAAATTTTATTGATTTGTGAACTTAAATAATTGTAATTCACAGATCACAATTATTTGGAATTTATAGATTTTTTAAATTGAACTTTTTACAACCCTTATTATAGTGTATGAATTTACCTGTCACTTCAGCTACTTTCGTGATATTTTCAAAAAACTTTCTAGCGGTATTACCATTATTGGTATTCCCCGATCCCGGAGTGGGATGATCGACTTTCACATTTAGCGTTCCAAAAAGCCCATCTTGAATATATTTTTTATGTTCGTTCATTATGCCCTGATTTTTTTGCTCAACCTTAAAAAATACTTTGATGCATATAAAAAAGTATAATTTTTATCTATCCCGACGAAAAAAACTTACAAGAAAGATTGAAAATGAAATTCAAAACTATCATATTAAATTACAAAATGTAATATCACGTAAAAGAAGTAAAATTACTATCGATTTCGAACAGTCAGTGCATTAAATTTTTAAAAACTTCTTTACATTATTTTCATATTTTTTTCAAGCCCACACATAATCGCATCGATTGCAGTGAATAATTGTTGTTATAAATTGTTTATAATTTATTAATTTTTATGAATAAATAAAAACTGATGTATGAAAGATATGTATATAAACCAAATTCAGTCACTTCTGTACTCCTGAGTACATGTCTGTACAGTACAGTCTGTGATGATGTCACAATTCTCTCTGTTGCTTTGAAGTGAGTAAACGGACACTATTCTGCACACTTACAATTAAACGTAATGCATAAAATTTTAATCTTTTCTCTTTTTCACCATAATTACTTACTGCGTTCGATACGACAAACTCATGAGTAAAAAGCTAAGCATTCAAAGTTATTAATTGATTATTACAAAATTGATTAATTTTGTAACGGTAAAAAAATGAAATAAACTGTGATATAAAGTAAAAAGTGCAGAACAACGTATGACATGTTCGAAATCGTTAGCAATCGTATATTTTCTTATACTTTTTATCCCAGATCACAACATTATTATGTGCTTAATCTGAAAAAAAATTTCGTTGGAGTATGCATATTAAATATTCATTACTCACTCTCCAGTGGGGTTCTTTAAACACTAGGCGATATGCAACGTGTAAAACACATTCCATGAAACGAATCTTAGCGTGGAGAACTGGAAAACCATACTTCAGTGACTCTTCTTTTACTGGGCGACGAAGAACGGCATCGATATCTTTAAATTGTGAAGGTGTAGCTTCACAGACCCAACAAGATTGGCTGGAAGTTTTTGTTAAAGCACATAACACCTGCAAAATCATCATAAAATTTTGATAAAAAAATATATTATTAATAATTAAGTTGCAAATTTAACACTTGAAATTATAGTAATTGATAATATCAAAAACTAACCTTGCCATCAACCATGGTCAGAAACATTTTTGTGCTGATAGTACAACCAGAAATTTCTATGTCTTGTAGATTTTCTATTTGTTGTCTATAATAGGTCGCTGTGTTTTTGCATAAGGAGCTCGTTTCTTTTTCGAACGAAATCTCCAGTATTCGACAAGATCGAGTCGAGCACGGAGATTTGTTAGTCCATACAGTTTCCTGAGTATCCACGTTAATTAAACTAAGAGGCACCATAGACACGCCAAAAATATTGGTACAAAAAGCTGCACTGTCAACAGCTCCTTGTTTGTAACATGGAGCATTTGTACCATCAAACCCATATTTAGCCAATAACTGTAAATGCGCACCAGGCATCTCTTCAAATTTAAAATCTAAATGCTTGAGCAGTCTAGAAATAGTGTGATCCAATAAATTTTGTAGGGAGACCTGACATTTGGTTTCAGAAATTGAAATTCCTTCTGGATATGCCGCTTTTTTACCAGCCAATACCTGCATTGAAATTATTCAGTTCCAATCTTTTATTGTTCAACAGATTTCAGCTCAAAGCGTAGCAAAATGACTCTGTTCGAGACTGTATTACTTGACGTTAAAAAATGTGACAGATATATATTTTTAAAAATCGGAAGCTCTTATTTTTAATGGTGGATCTGAAGATGCGCTCAATTTTGGTTAACGTTGTAAAATATTTGTTACAACTTTTCTGGCAAATTTTTTTTTCGCATAGCGAAACTGGGAGCCCGTTATAAAATGAGAAGACAAGGAACAAATTCTGCTGCAAGTACTTGAAAGTGAAAATTGATTTAGTTTAATTAAAAAAAGAGAGAATTAATTAAAAATTTTACACAGGTTCTTTTGATATGCTTTGGTACTGAAGTGTGCTCATGAAAAGTAAATAAATATTTTTCCAACGAACTACTCCCATAAGTATTTATCTTTGCTTGACTTTCTTGTTAATACATGCATGAAAATTCTATAAAATTAACATTACCTGTTCATACGAAGGAAATAATTTGTGTCCAGATTTTAATGACATAGATCTAATTGAATTGTACGCTTCCTTAGTAAGATTGCTATTAACTATCAGGGACAAAGCTTCTTCAACGAAAAGTGGCCTCCCGTTATTATTCTCGTCGTTTCCATCAATTTGTTCTAAATTATTAGGGATTGATTTCACAATTTCTACTCCACGAGAATCGTTTTGATGTCTAAATATTTTTGTTAAAACATCAACAGCTTGTTCACGACTGATATTATTACTTAGAGCTAATGACTTTCTTCTCTTAGTAGATGCGGAAGCATTATCATACGTAACTGGTGGTCGACCAACTATGTAGAAAAACGATCATTTCATGAACTCAAAAAGAATAGAAAATTATAGGCAAATATTGAAATAATTCCCAGCTTAGTAGAAGAATGACTCGAACGAAAAAGTACACGAGAGTTTTTATTACTAGAATTTGTCTACGTCTCAACGAGAGCTTGGCTATTCAGGAGAAAATTCGTACATAAAATTTTTCATTTTCTTATGCGAAACTCCAAATAATCAAAGAGATGTCTAGAAAAGTATAATTTTCGCACACGAGACTCAAAAATCTCTAAGATTTTGTGTAAGAATTTTCGCCTAAATAAATAACGCAAAATTCAAAATCTAATAAATTAGAATCGCAAATTTCATCGGCAAAACCATTCACTGAGTAACCACAAACAAAAATGCAAACTTACCTGGGTTTTTCGCAGACGTTTCCGGAAGAGAACTGCAGTCAAATTCAAACTTAAAATCCTTATCTAACCAGCTATAAAATTTTTGTTCAAAGTGAACAAAACTTTTTTTATTTTTTGGCAATGTTTGTAATTTCAACACATAATTACCGATTGCATTAGAAACAGCTTGCTGTAATCGTTCATTCACTCTCATATCACAGCCAACATAGTTATTGTCACTCAATAGCTTGTTTGAAATGAATTTGATTTTTTCAACGCGCTTATAAGATTTAACACTATTATAAAGAATCACAATATCGCGATTTGCACATTTCAAACTCAACATGATAAACAATTTTCAGCACACCGTATATGAATATTTTAATCAGTGAGTAGTTGTGCTCTGTCTGAGAGTAAAATCACAATGGATCCAAGCACTGTACTTTGTTGACGAACTATGAACTTCAGTTTTTCGCAACACGCATCCTCATATGCCCGAACGCATGTAAACAAACAAGACAAAGAAAAAATTTGAGCGTAGTATGTATTGATGGTATAAATGATGTTTTGATTTTACGTTGTATGCTACGCTCACATTTTTTCTTCGTGTTCACAGTTCGTAAACAAGTACAGTTTTTCTTTTTCATTGTGACTTCACTTACAGTGCACATCAACTCATTAATAAGAAAATGTTTAAAAATCGGTATATTGATAATAGTGTATAATGTTGGATGTACAATGTACAAATCACGATATTTTGCTTCAACAAAGTAGTGGTACAGTTGTGAAAAATTAAATCCGATTGATTTTTTGAAGATTTGTTGATTTTTTAAATTTTATTTTATTTAATCCCATTGATTTTTTGAAGATTTGTTGATTTTTTAAATTTATCAATTAAACTTATTTTCATCCCCGAATCAATTCGATTTTTCATTTATATATATTTTATTTCGCGAATCTAATTGATTTGCGAACTAAACTTTATTTATTTCTTTCATGATTCAAGAAAACCCAAATAAAAAACAATTTACTGGAGGAGTTCACTCTAGGCAATTTTTATTACCTGGAGCATGAATCATTGAGATGAAATGGAAATATGACATTTGATTCGAAGCACGAACGATTTAAATCAAGTTTAAGCATGAATCAATTTAAAATAAAATAATCATGATTGGAAAATCAAAATAAGTTTAAAATAAGTTTAAAGTACAAGTTAAATTAATTTTAAATGAATTAATTGAATTCGGGTTTTTACGAAATTTTGTACAGGTTGCACCTGTCTATTTGGGCTTTTTAATATTTTGGGTATAATATCTGATGATATACGAGTGATTTAAGATGTCCAATGGGATGGTTGAGAAATAAGAAATATCTTAATACATAAATAATACCTAATAAATAAATAATACATAAATCATTAAGTCACGTAGTATTTATAAAAGACTTACTTATCTGCAGCTTTTTTTGTCATCTTGTAAAGTTCGTAATAATCATTGAAACGCTATATTAAAAGCTAGTTTAATAATAAAAATGTATAGTTAATAGTATGGTTTAATAGTTAAAATGTCTAATTTCATTATTTTTAGAATAGAACGAAAATTGCCTGATTTTTTTCACATATGGGGGACTTTTTTTCAAAAGTATTGCATGATCTTCGGCCAAAATGAGTCAAATTAAGTTTTTATGCGATTAAAATTCCTTCAGAATGAGGAATATGATTACTTGAAGTAAGTGCAAAGTTATTCGATGACTTAGGTTATTGTGACTTTAAATGCAATTCGAATTTCATCTTTCGGATGATGACTAGACTTATGTACCACTCTTCAAACCCATCGAGGGAAACGGATTCTCAAAATATAATGCAAAACCTTTACAAAAAACCTGCAATGACATTTTAAACTTAATTTTCCAGCTTAAAAATAATTTTGATCACTTTTTTAACTTTTCAGACCACTGTGCATCGCCTTCAATTAAAAAATCTGAAAAAATTTGAGAAATCGTTTTTTGATGTCAGAATTAAGAAAGAAATACTCCGGTCTGGTATATCGAACCATTTCACCGAAAATAAAATAATTCAAATTTTCAATGATTTTTTCTGAAGGCCTGAAGCACTCGAAAAATCTGAACAAATTCAAGATTGTTTGGATTGTTAAAAGGTACTTTCATGAATTTTTTCAGATTTTTTAATAGCTTTAGGCCTTCAGAAAAAATATAGATAGAAAATGGACGTTTATAGGGGAGGAGGGGGGTAGGAGAGGGGAGGGGGTCCAAAATTTTGGTTTTGGCACTTTTTATCATGTACTATAATATACCAAAATTTCAGGAAAATCCGTGAACCTTGTCCGCAGGTTTATTTGAAAAATTCTGAATCTGACCCATATACATGTATGTGGAATTTCACGTCAACTCTCCCAGTGCCGCGCAGCGCGGCAGAATTAAGTCAAATCACTTAATTTGTAAATCGCTGTAAATGTACTAAAATGGACCTAGAGAAAAAAACAAACACATGATTTCGATAGAAAATTGCGTCAGCTTTCCGATAGTTCGGTCAGATTTTCCGAAATTTTCCGCTTTACCCGGGAAAATCGCTGGGAAAACTTTAAAGTCGATTATCTCAAAAACTTCATTTTTAAGATTTTTTCAAATAGTCTAGATCGAAAGATTAGGAAAATTCTTATCGATATAGACATTTTTCAGAGAGGCGTTTTTAGCGAGATATAGCGAGAGAAAGAAGAAAAAACGTGGTTTTCGCGTGATTAGCGGCGCTCGCGGGCGGCCAGACACGTAGGGCGTGGGTTCGATCCCCACTGGGCGAATTTTCAAGCAGATTTTTTTCACCTGGTGTGGTCAAGCCCGTGCCTGAGGTGGGGCGGGTACCACTCTAAAAGAAGACCCGGGCAACGTCATCAGCCTCCAAAGCGGTAAAAAACCTCGATCACTGTGCAAGCTGGAAACGAAGAGGATAACCATAAGTAGGAGCCCGAGGCGAGGAGTCACAAGGCTGGCGATAAACAGGGAGCACAACACTCCCATGATAAAGTCAAATGCGAGAACCACACTCACAAGATCGCGCCGACAGAGCTATTGGGCCACTTGCCATCGGCGGCAGAAGCGAGAACTACACTCACAAGAATCAATTAATATCAATTTTCAAGATATAGATGGGAAAAATAGAATCTTTTAAGCTGAGTTTCGTCTGATTTCATCAAGTAGTCAGTAAGATATGAGAGGTCAAGCGCCTTTATTTTGAGGTTATGAAACAAGATTTTCACTCATATCTCCGTCAATTTTCAAGATATCGAGCTGTTTGTGGAAAATATAGAAAGTACGTGAAGCGTTAGTCGTCGCCAGGTTGACGGCTAATTGTTGAATCAGAAGGGGTTGCTTCGTACCCGCGTGAAGGTAAAGGGGTAGAGATTGATTGATTGATTAATATATTTATTGGGGCCCTGAGGTATAACCACATGGGGCCCGATGGCAATTTACAAGAGTCAATATAATATGATGTAGAATCGATGCAATTATAAAGCAATGATCAATAACAATATTCAAAATTATAAGATAGCACAAGAAAGAAGTTAGATTAAGACCGAATGAAAACAAATTGCAAATATTTAGCGAAATTGAAAACAATTGAAAGCAGAGAACTGCATGAAAGAGACCGCTGGGTACGTAGACAGAGTCATAGTCTCGAAGCCATCAAGTTCAGATCTTCTTTAGTACGTATTGGAATAAACTCCGACTGAGGTGATTTGCGCATTAAAACAGTCAAATTTCGGACGATTGGGCTGGCGTAATGGAGACGATGAGATAGCGATTTTGTTTCAAGAAACAACTGATAGACGGTTTTGGGCCACAGAGAACTCAAAGAGAGCCGAGATTCGCCGCCGGTATCAAACAGAGTCTTGTTTTCAAATTTTGCCAGCTTATGGGACTGAGACATTAGACCATCTCGCACAATTGGTGAAGAGCACTGGAGAACGATGGCACGAGTGTGTTCTTTGACAGAGCGTGAATTCTGCGGTTTCCAACTTCGAGTCCTCGTTATGAACCGCTCGTGGTGTTCCATGCCTATGGCAGAAAAGGTCTTTTTAAGGACCTGGTTATCAGAAAGCTCTAGGCCAGATAGCACGCCAGACAATAGCAACTCGCACTGGTCGGTCGCTGAGTAGGGTGCACTGATGCTAGGAATTCTGCCTATAAATTCCGAGCATTTTTCAGTAGAGATTTTTACATTCTCTAAATCTTCCTTGATTGGCGATACAGATGAAGCGGATGACTTGGCCTCTTGTTCAGAAACGCGAAGCTCGAGTTCTTTGACCGATGTACACAAGCCTTCAACCTTGTTCATAAGACGATTCTTCAGTTCGAACGTCTTTTCAAGCATTTTGTCATTTGTCATGTCGACGTATTTTAGGACGCGTTCGATTTCGGCCTGAAAAATTGCAGGGTGTGACGTGTCCAACTGAGACATGATGAAACAGAAATAAGCACAATTCCAAACACCAGCAGAAGACAACCCCAAGGCCAACACAAAAAACAAAGACGAAGAAGCAGAAGACAACTCAAATGTAAACAAGACACTTTGGCAGCACTGGACACTTGCGAATATTCAGCGACTGCGCTCTTGAGATTTCTTCGGATTTTTGGGGTTTCTGAAAAACTAACCTCCAATGTCGAGGCCGTTGGAAAACTGATGAAGTATTAATTGTAAGTTTAAAGATGCAACAAAACATTGGATGCATCCGAAACCTTGCAATATTGAGCGTGCAAGACCTGTAACCAAAAGCGCCACGAGGGCAGAAAGCAGCAGAAAAATAGCTTTACAGAGGAGCAAGCGTGAAACGTGTGTGTAGCTACGTACCCAGAAAGAGAGAGAGAGACAGAGACACTGACACAAATTGAGGTTAAGAGGCAGAGAGTCGTTTATTGCTCACGAGACGTACAGCTCAACAGTCGGAGCGAGAGTGAGTAGCACGACGCAGCGTGCGAGGCGACAGGCGTCGCTTACGAAGGCGAAGCGCTTGCGTGCGTGGCGTTAAAGTGCGCGTCGGTGAGTGGCAGTCGCCACAGTACTCCTCCCTTACTTCTTTTTTTTTATTTTTAAACAAAAACGAAAAAAAACATTACATTTGTTGAATTATCATTATGAGTGAAGGAAGGATATTGTAAATCTTTGTTTTTTTTTTTTTTTTAACAACAGTAATCTTATTCTTATTAACTATAATGTATAAAAGTAGAATATCTTAATGAATTACAATAAAAAAATAATTTTGCGTATTATATGGAAGCTTACATTATATATTACATTTTAAGCTGAACACAACGGTGTTTAAGTGGAGGATTTGACAGTAATCTTCCTTACAAAATAATTTTCGCCGCACGTACTGTGGAACAAAGGGCCTTTTTATACAGTTCTAGCATCTATTTTGGTTCGATTATATTAAAACCCCGACAGCAGACTTGTATTTTTTTATCTATTAATTTTCTAATTGTCTCAAAATTAAACTGTCGTGGATCTGCTTTGGCGTAGCTTAAAGTTAAGGAAACGAGACTTTGAGGCAATCTGTCTAAGATCTGCGGTTTGTTTACACTAAATTTAATTGTTAAAAAACGTAAATTGTTCAATCGCGAGAAATCCACATTATCGTTGAGCTGTATGTTCTCTAGTTTTAGAATCGTAACATTTGGTATGCGCGGTATGATTTGATCGATAATGGAATCAACAAACACAGCGTTGCTTAGATCTAAGTACTTAATTTTAGGTGCCATGTGTATTTGTGGATTGAAATCAGGATTAAGTAATCTAACATTTGGCTTCTCAAACTTTACAGTGATCCGCTCGAGCGCGTTTCGATCGCTGAACAGTTGCTCAAAGAGCTGCACCGAACCTTCATGAAAATCAGTCGCAAACATGTTAATTATTTTTAGATTATTTATCGTATAATTATTGATGAGAGCTTTGCTCAATAAACAGAGTCGGAGATTAGCGCAGTTCGTTATTGTTACTTGCTGCAGGTGCTCGTTCTGGAGGCACTCTCCCCTAAATTTTGGATTATTTACAATGCTTAAATTAGTAATATTCATTTAACATTGTGACCTATCTTTGAGTCTTACCTCAGAAGGGGTCGAGCCGCCACCAAGTGCGCCGCGAGCGTCGGCAGTCCAAGCTGAAAATAAGTGAGAAGGGTTCGCGAAAAAACTAGGCAAAATGTACTTTTGCACACAAAGACTCGTTTCTTTATTTAATTCAACTCTCAACTCTCATCAATACAACCATGACTTCATTCGCGCTTCGTCTCGCTATCTCGTATCTCATTTCCTCGCTACCATCGTATCATGCCTCGGACATAGTTGGTCATATGCGAGTCCAAGGGAAAAACGCGCGGATTACAACGCTAGTCCGACGCGAGTCCCAGTCAAGTGCCACGTACTTGCAATGCGCGCAATCGGCTCGTTTCTTCAAAATACGGTCGACGCCTTCGCTCTGCTCGCGCTAGCAGACGCGCGATTTGGTCACACACGACCAAGACGAAACGCGCTATCTCGCTTGCTCTCACAGGAGCGTCCGAGGCGGAAGTACCGCTTCGCAAAAATGGCCACGCGCCGGCCTGAAACGCGACACATGGACTCGAACCACGTCTCGAATGTCCAAGGTACTCGCTACAATTACTCCGATTTCCACGACTCTTACTACACAACGATTCTACGGTGAAACACTTCTGATTTTTTCTCCTACATTCACACTACGCAATCATACAAACACCCTCACACATCCGTGCGGCCGACCAAGTCTAATCCAATTTACAACCTTCTTCGTCGCTCCGTTGCCTCGGCCTTTGTTCTCGATGTCGTCTTCCGCTGTTCCCCTGCTGCTCCGTCCTCGTGGTCTGTCTGGTCCAAGGGTGCTTGCCTCGCCTCGGAGATGCCTCGGACGATTTATGAGAAGGTCGCTGTACAGCAGATCCTTCCGAGCGTCGCGAATCGCCTCGTCACGTCGCGACTTCTCTCGCCGCACTTAACTCCAAGCTTGAACACAGCTTCTCCTTGGACACGACACACGAACTTCTGCTGCGTACACAGCTTCTCCACGATCTCACTCAACCGCTGCCACACAGCTTTTCACGGACAACGTCCAAGGCCAACCCTGCCTCTCTCGCGACTTCTCACTCGGCCACACGTCCGTCGTCTCTCGCGGTCTGATTGCGAACCTCCCTGTGTACACTGGGAAGATCTGCGGCAACAGTTGCCGGAGGATCGAGTTGATTTGCAGCGTTGCTACATGATTGATCGTATTGATCGGTAGTGCGAAAGGAGTGATCGTGTTGATCGATTGAGAGAGGAGGATCTTGTTGATCCGTGCTAAGCGGAGGTGAGAGAACAGGTTGCTCTGTGGTGAGCGACTCGCTGATGACGGAGTTTTGCTCGTTCGCTTGATTAAGCTCGTTTGAAATAGTCTTATCGACTTTTGGCTCTGGAGGAGGAGGAGGTAAATGTGTTTTGTTTGCACCAAAAGCGAGATGTGCTGGTTTTAAGTGCTCCATCGAAACTGTTTTCACTTTATTACCTATGATGATATTGAAGTGTCTACGAGAGTCATGTTTATGGTGGACTTTATGAGGACCTGTGAAAGGTCTAGTAAGAGGTGGTTTCACAGCTTTAATTGCTTTGAAGACATGAGTGCAAGATTCTAAGTCTTTGAAGTAAAACTGTTTTACTTTAGATTTTGCAGTTGCCTCGGTTGGCTTCAAGTTCTGCATGTGTCGCACAAAGGTAGTTTTGAACGATTTAAGTTCGTTGTCGTCGCGATTAATTTAACCGATAAAGTCGCCGGGTATGCACAGAGCTGTGCCATAAAGCATTTCTGCTGGACTTATGTCTTCAGGTAAAATAATTCTAGTGCGAAGTCCGAGAAGGACAGTGGAGAGTGAAGTTACCCAATCTTGGGTATGTGTCCTGCACATCAAGGCGGCTTTGAGATCTCTGTGCCAACGCAACATAAATTCTTTAAACACGTCATATTCCAATTGCCTGCCTTGATCGGAAGTTAAAATCGATGGGACGCCGAAGCGAGATATCCAGTGGTCGAATATCGCCTGTGCGACAGTGTGCGCAGTACTGTCACGCAGAGGAATGGCTTCAGGACAACGGAAAAATCTGTCAATGATGGATAATATAAACCTGTAACCGTCTCTTGGTGGAAGAGGGCCCACGAGATCGACGTGTATATGTTGGAAACGAGCGTCAGGTGCGGTAAATTGAGCAGGACTCAGTTTGTTGTACCTTGAAATTTTAGATTGCTGACAATCCAAGCAACATTTGCACCAATTGGTAATGTCACGAGTCATGTTTGGCCATACTGCGACGAATTAAACGATCAGTGACTCTGCCACTCGGATGTGATAAACCATGATAGTAGTTGAAAATTACCATTCGAAGAGACTTAGGCAAATATGGTCTGATTTTATTGTCTTGTACGTTTGCGTAAAAAAACTGTTTATTTATAGGCCAGGAGAATTTGACGAGTTTCAAAGGATGTAAAGGGTCCTTTAAAATTTCTGACAGCTCCTCACCTTCGGCTTGTTTATCGCAAAACTCTCCCATATCAATGGCTGTAGGGAGCTTGAATGCATTTATGCAATTTAACATTGCATAGGTATCTTGGTCAATTACAAAAATTTCATACAGAGATTCTATGCAAGAGAGTGCATCAGCAACGTTGTTGTGTATGCCTGGTAAATAAACCATTTTAATATCGAAAAGAGAAAGATATTCGAGTTGTCTAGCGCGACGAGGGATGGCTTTCACGTGCTTTTGGGACAGAGCTTGCAAAAGAGGTTTATGATCGGTGCCGAGGATAAATTTCCTAGACTCGACATAATATTGAAAATGCTTGATAGATTCTACCGCTGCAGTTAATTCACGATCGTATGTTGAGTAATTTCTTTGTGCATTATTGAATTTTCGTGAAAAGAAAGCTAAAGGAAACCATTGCCCTGAGGAGTTTTGCTGTTCAAGCACGCCCCCCATGGCTGTGCTCGAGGTATCGGAGCAAATGCGGATAGGTGCAGTATCTACCGGGAAGGCAAGTAAAGCTGCGTCAGCTAAACGTTGCTTGCAAGCTTCGAAAGCAGAAAGACTTTCATCGTCCCATACAATAGGTGATTTATCTTTTTTCTTATTACCCATAGTGTGTTTGTGTAAGGGGATTTGTAAATGAGCGAAATGTGGTATGCATTCGTGATAGAAATTGATCATGCCGAGAAAATGACGTAGTTCGTCCACTGTCTGAGGACGAGGAAAATTGTTTATTTTGTCGATTTTTGCAGGTAATGGCTTGTAGCCTGATTTATTAATTAGAAAGCCGAGAAACTCTACATTATGTTGACCAAAATGACACTTATCTAGATTCAATTGTAAACCAACGTGTCTCAGTCTTTCTAACACTACTCTCAGGTGCCGTCTGTGTTCATCGAGCGATGAAGAAGCGATTAGAATATCATCAAGGTATACAAATACGTAAGGTAAATCACCTAAAGCGGAGTCAGCGTATCATTGAAAGGTTTGAGCCTCGTTTCTCATTCCGAATGTCATAACGTTGAACTCGAACAGTCCGAAAGGTGTGATAACTGCCGACTTAGCTCTGTGTTCAGAGGCTAGAGGGATCTGCATGTAAGCTTTTTGCATGTCGAGAGTAGAAAAAATTTTGGTGTCAGCGAGGATCGCGGTGAAGTCTTGCAGTCTTTTAACCGGGTATTTATCGGAGATTGTGACGGTGTTTAATCTTCGATAATCACCACATATGCGTCACGTTCCGTCTTCTTTTGAACCATGTAAATAAGCGATGCCCAAGGACTGTTGGAAGGTGTTATCAATCCTTTTGATTGTATATCAGCGAAATAAGCTTTAGCATTTTTAAGTTTTTCAGGAGAAAGTCGTCGTGCTTTCTCAGACACAGGATGTCCCTCTGTATGAAGGTAGTGACAAACTGAGCTTTCGCTGATAGCTTTTCTGAATTGAGAGTCGTAAGTGATAGGAAATTGTGACAAAATGTCATAAAAGGTGTGAGATTGAGATAACAGTGATATGTTATAAATCGGAGATAGTAAGCTTTTTCCGGCTGCGAAGACGGTATTTTGGCGAGTCCGCAATGCGGCTTGGCCGAGATCGATAAGTAAGTCAAAATAATGAATAAAGTCAGCAGCCAAGATTGGGTTTGGTACATCAGTGACAACGAAATTCCATGTTAATGGACTTTTGCAATTGAACTGTGATTGTAAAGTATGTTAGCCGTATGTGTTCATTATTGACTTATTCGCTGCTTCGAGCTTAGCTTTGGCAAGTTGAGCTTGAGGAAAAAACGAGACAGGTAAGACTGAGATTTCTGCACCAGAGTCAGCCAGAAAAAAATATTTACTACGATGATCGTATACGTGAAGACTTACGGAAAGTCCACTTGCTGCAGTCTCCAAAGCAGTAGCGGACTGCCTTAGTTTTTTTTATTGCTTCTCTTGACTCGTTTTTCACCACTTTGGCGACAAGGATCTGCACATTTTTCTGCGTCGTAACCAAACCGAGAGTGATAATAGCACAAGTCATCGTTGTCGGCTGTGTCTTGTGAATTTTTCTTGTACGACTGCTTTGTCTCAGTCTTGTCACTTCTATTGTTATTATTGTTGTTGTTGTAACGAGGTTTGGTCAACTTTTTCTCAACGGCATTCATCTTATTCTCGAGCTTGGACAACGCTTGCGTGATCTTATCAAAATCAAAAGTGCCGTCCGCAATTGTTGCAGGTGTTTGTAGAGGTGCGATGCAGAAATTGAAACGCGGCTGCTGTTGTGCTTTGAGATTGTATGAGTCGAAAAGCTCATCTGCTTTGGAAACATTCTCAGCTTCATTTTCTAGTGTAAGTACTGAACTTAAACCGCTTGAGATAGTAGGAGGTAAATTTTTCTTCCATGATGCCAAGATTGATTCACGTGATATCCATTGATCCGAAGCCGATGCCAAAAGATTAAGATATTCTGAGGGGGTATTATCTTGCATCCCGTTGAGATTTTCGCTGAGTCGTTTTATTTTCATGATGTCGTTCTCTACGTATTTGCATAAAAGAATAGCCTTTAATGAGTTGCACTCATTATTTCTGGGGAGCGTTATCAGCGAATGTTTTAACTCAGTGGTCACGTCGTGACCCAATTTGGTAATGAGATGATAGTACTTGTCTTGTTCATTAGTGATATTGGCCGCTGTGAATTGAGGTTCAAGTAAGTTGATCCATAGCTGAGGACTGTGTTTGTAAAAATCTGGAAATTTATCTAATTTTCTTTGAGCATCAGTCTGAGTGGCAGGACTGCTTTGTGTGGGAGGAGTGACTGCAGTCGATTGCATCTGTTGAGCGAAAGTTGCTTGAGAGATCGGTTGCATTGCCGACGATGTGAACTACGACTGAGGCTGTACAGTGGGCTGTGATGCGATTGGTGTAGGTTGCATACATGACTGCATGAACTGCTGCACCGGTGTTGTTGATACTGCACGCGTGGCTGTGCAAACTGCTGCATTGGTGCTGTTGTATACTGCACTCTTGACTGTGACCATGTAGGAATACATTGAGGGTTTGATTGACGAGGTGCCAAAGTGCACTATGTCGGGTAGAAGTTCGCAGAAGAACTTTACGAGACAGGTGGGAAATTTAAAATTTGTTTGCTTGCAGTGGAAGTTTGTGACTGCACATGCTCACGAAGAGTTGGAGCAGAAGCAGTACTGCATGAAAAAGCAGCAGTAGCATTACGGGGTCTCCTGTCATCGCTCTCTCCGAGTGGAGAAAAACCTGCATCGATGATAGACTGTTGTATTAATGCGCGATTGGAATCAGGCACCTTTTTATCTAAGCCACAGTTTTCATTAGTGGTCGGTGGAGGGATTAATATTTGCTGCTGTGCAGCAGAAACACTGCGAGCTTCCTGTAATTCAGCCTGTATATTACGCAACTGTTCGCGCAATTGATGCAGTTCGAGCTCGGCACCTTCGAGTTGGCTGGACAGACTGAGAAAGAGGTTGTTTGTGCTGTCCACTTTGGTTTAGTCGTGCATGTTGGGGGTCGAGTTCGAAAGCGTACTTGAAACAAGGAACTGATCCGAATTTTTGTCTGTATGGTGTGGCCCAGTGGCGTCATGCGACTCTGTATCGGCCGTTTTTTGCGATTCGAGCTCGTCGTTAAGCTGTCTACGCATACGTGTGCGAGTTGCAATCGGCGATCGTTGCAGCTGAAAATGTGTCGCGAAAGCCGCAGCTTCGTTTTGCTGCTGTGCAGCGGAAGATTGTTGCGTATTTTCGTTCGACGTGGCGTTGTCTTGCCCGTTCGCGCTATTGCCGACGGCCATGATGTGTGTCATATAGATTGCGTGTGCAGACGACAGCGTCTTGTGTGCGTAGCGAGAGACAAGTGTCGCGCTGGGAAGACGTCGGGACCAGGCCGAAGTGATGCGTTCACGAACCGACCGATGGCACCACAACGACTGTTAGCGAGCACTGACGGGTGATGTTGGCTGCGCGGGCTTGTACACGCGATTCATGGAATTCGCGCAGGATACCGAGAATTTGAGCACGTTGCTGAGCAGCACGTGTGTACAAGTTCGAATTATATCAAACGCGCGTGTCGATGCCCGTTGACTCGAGTTCGCGGAAAATATGCCGCGATGAATATCGCGAGAATGTCCAGAACAAAATGCGCGAATGCTTTCGCTTTTTTTTAATGATTGACAGGAGACAAGGAGTGCAAACCTGCATGCCTAATTGCAGCTCTCAAAGGTCATGTTGGCCTGTATCGTGAGAAGGTGGAAAGCCTTTGGACGATCACAGCACGACACGATGATTACAACAACCAGGACACACGGCTGACATTACGCGTGTTTGTGAAAAAGGGTACAAGTGCTTGATTTGCTCGTTTTCTAACACGAAAAAATTGCCGTTTTCAACTCTGTGAGAAGGAAAATCCTTTGGACAAACGGAGAGCGTGCCAATTTTCGTGTGAAAATCTAATTTTTTTTGCAAGAGCATTGCATGCACTGTACTGTATCAATGTTTGTTTTAATCACGATAACGCGAATTGCAGGCAAGACGGGTAAAAGAGAGTTGACTTACGAGCTAGCACGTCTGCGCCATTCGCCGTAGCTTGCTTTACCTGTGGCAACAAGGGTCATCTGTCAAAGGATTGTACCCGCGAAGGCCCCATGTGTTATCGCTGTAGAAATACGGAGGACATGTATCCCCAAACTGCCCCTACACTGATGCACAAATCAACGCTTTCAAGAGAAAAGGTAATGACTCAAAATCTGATAATAGAGGTGG